ACCAAATTTGCACTTCTGGTACGAACGATTCCCCAGAAAGGAATTGAGTGCTCCTTCTGTGCATGTTGAAGGAGTCTGGAGCTGCTCGGTTGATGATACGTGGCTCCCATCCACATGCTTACAGTGAATATGAGGAATGTGGATGGAGCTGAGTGTGGTGCAGCGCAAGCCACACATTGTACCTGTGTATGTGCAGGCGTCCTGTGGTTGTCCCCATAGAGGACGTAGCGGCATGCCAATCCGGAACCGGATACCGCTAACCATGTATGCGTATCGGTGTTACTTTAAATATATATATATATATGCTGCAAAATTTACTGTGTCCTGGTGGGTCATCTGTGCGACAAAGCAGCAGTGGCAATATTCGAGTTTTGTGACTGACGTCCGTGGAGTGGATATGATTATCCGGGTAAGCAAGGCACTGACATTTTTACAAGTGAGTCACAACCGCCACAACGTTGTGTTGTCAGTCAGTTATGGATATTTATAGGGAGAACTCTTGTCATTAGAATCTCACTCCGATGTGGAATATTGCCGCTAAACCTTTCGTTGGAAATCGATAAAACCGAATCACTCAAGTGGCGGCACGAAGTTTGCAATTTATGTCACTGGCGGCCTTATACTTCCTGTACAAACGACATCTATTCTCAAGACTCGTTTTAAGTATATATCCTCGTTTTCTTCGTAGTTGTCATTACCGATATATGCCCCACGGCAACCGGTGAGCTTGACACCAAAAAATATGTTGTAAACGAGTGGTGATTTCGAAAGTTAAACAGCCGTAGCTTGGGCATCAACCGGCAGTCACCAAATCGTGATTATCAACCCACTATAATTGCTGTCAGACATTTGTGCTTCAAGAACTGCTGCATCACATTATGGTCCAGTTTATCTCCATGATCAAAGTTGAGTCAATGAGGAGGTGATTCGATGCATGGTCGTTCGTACCCGCGGTCATCTAATGGGACAACGACAGCCAACTGTTACGAATGGAACATAGATACAACGCTGCAATAAGGCCGCTTAACCACATGGGTTTAAAAATTGGTCACTTCGCTCAAAAGTCACTCTTAGAGTGGTTGCTTTTGCCCAACGTTAGATGATTCCTATATCTCGTATCTGATGGCAGTGCTTGGTGTGGGTGCCAAATTCCACCACTTGGACTTATGGCACACTGGATTGTCTTAAACTTGGACCACTTTCGTCGGTTAGGTATTAAACAGCGTATGCCCACTGACTGAATTTCCCGTTGTGGGTTATGTACCCTAGTTACACTTTTTTGGACGAAACCGTGTTGTTGCCAGCCGATGAGGCGGCAAGATGAAGCTGACTGAAATACATGGCAGATCTTTACACGGTTACTTCCAGCTAAAAGCCGTGAGATATGGTAACTAATAGTTTTGGGAGTCCGTATGTAATCTGACGAATTTCGCCAGCAGTGAAGTTCTTCTACGCTATCACTTGCGTCTAACTGTTAAGATATTATCCCGATTAATTTCGTTCCCTATTTCTTACCTTTCCCTAATCTTTCGCTTGGAATCAAATTCGTATTACTTAACACGGTTCCTGGTTGTCATTTGGAGGTACCATTCGTAACTTTCGGTACCCTGGTTAAAAAGGTTCAACTGAACTGAACATCTGACGGTTTTCGAAATAAAGCAGTTTAAATTGTCCATAAAGACTTCCCCTAGGAATTCTATTACATTGCGTTAAACCTCGTTTGGAGCTAGCGGCAGGTAGGGGGCAAAATACCACCCTTAAGAGTGTTTCTAATGGTGATAAATTAAAAGGTACCTATCACCGCCGTAATTAGAGTATCACACTGGTAATCGACTATTTCTCTAGACCAAAAGCCCACAGGGTGTGTGGCGATCAGGAATTATATGTGAGCACGGCAACTAGGTGCTTTACTAACTAGCGTGAGTTTGAATTGCGTTAAGTTGGTTGCCTTTTTCGAAAGTTAGCTTCAAGAAAGCCAGTGTTTGGGGACGGTTTCATACCCATCTAAGTAAAGGATTTGTCAGACAAAAGATGAGACATTGTGCAAGAACAGAGGGAATAACTTACCGTGGAGCGTTAACTGTCGATAGCAAGACGATCTCTGAGTTGTTCTAACTTTGGTTGCCTCGCCCCTCGACGTGGTCAGTAAAGCTGTTCCTTCTTTGAATCCTATTGAAGTCCGCTGCCAAGTGTCCGACTGTAATACTTTCTGATGCATGGGATTGACTGGGGAATTTGCTGGAACCGATTTGGCTACAAGTGCTAAACTTGTACGATGCCGTTCGGTGGACAAAGGGCCTCTATATTTGTTGAAGTCGTTTCCGATTTCCTTAGTTTCTTTAGACCACATTTCTGTGTGAGAAGCGCGTCTGATCCGGGCACACCAGATACCGAACAATGTTGACCTTGCTGTCCTATGAGGCTCAGTTTGCGTTAAAGTTTCCACTGTTTTATAATTCTTTGCGTTGACTGCCTGGTCATCTGTGGCCCACTCGTAATGGGCCTTGTTTAGTGTGTACAATACTCTACTGGACGACACAAAGAGTTTTTTGCCAGGGTGGCAGTATTCGGCATGATAAAACTGCGGCACGTAGCAGCTATCTAGTGGAATTTCTTCCCAGGTCCATCGGGGAAAACCAGCGTCTCTGGTGGATGGAATATTTACTGTCGGTATGCATGACTTTGACACATGCGTTGGGTCAGTTAATCTCAATGGTGTGAACGCCTTCGTTACTGGTGTCATGTTGTCCACATCAAAATGAAAGAATTTACGCAAACGTTCCGTGCTCTGACGACATGCTTCCATAGCCTCATCTCGACACCGAGAGCTAGTCTTACTGCGATCCTCCGCATCTGAAAAGGCATCTGCGAAAAGTCGCCGAACCGGTAAACCTGAGGCCGCTACTTGTGACATAATACAGCTGCAACTGGTTTGTCGTCATGTGAGGTCAAGCACATAGTTGTCTCATACTGTTGCTCAGATATGATTGGCTGAACACCGCAGGTATGCAGCCAATAGCGGCACGTGCCGAAATGTCCGGGTCAGAAGAGCCGACGAATGGACGCGTGGTGACGTCGACCTGTGCAGTGTGCCATACCTGGAATGGACGTAATTACACCGTGTCACGAGTGAGTAACTCGAAAAAGAACGGCGTTCCAGTTAGAGCTGCAAGGGGGGTCATGTGAACTGACGCAAGACTGTCGTTAACGTGGGTTCCCTACGCAGATGATGGTGATGAGGTGGTGATGGTGAGTTAAAGACAGGAGACGTCTCGAGTTGCTATGCACGTGGATTAGTGCGTTCCGAACGTGATTTTTAAAATCTTTAAATCACTGATAGCCTAAAATGGTATGAGACAATGCACAGGCATCGGAAGTGGTGAAACGGCATGTGACTGCACAAAATACAAATGAATCGAGTTTGTGTTACAGGTCACGTATGAAGTACAACGACATCAGGTTAAATGAGAACTGATTCGGTAGCCATAGACCACAATCAACTTTGCGCTCAGTAACAGGATGGCGTAGAAAACAAACCGCAAATGCAACTAAGTGAGTAACAACAAGTATCCTGAAAAGAATAGGAGGGCTTTCGATCGATGGATGTATAGGATCACTTGTCAAATTGCCACTGACATTTCTCATGTAGCAAATGGGATCGGGTAGGTACCCAATTGGCTAGACCCTAAATCAGTTGGTCCCTTAGTGCGCTGCTGGCATGTCAGTAAGAAGCCGCCACACAACTGGTAAATTACGCTGTGGAACAAAAACATTTATCTTCTATAACAGAAATTTTAATGACCCTGCCTTATAGAATACACTCCATTGATCGTAGAAATATATTCTGATCTTAACTAACACGGCAGGTTATATTGTGATAAGAAATGATTATTTTCTGTAATGTCAAGGCCACGTCGCACGAGTTATGTATAAACGTACTGAATCCCGACATATACAGATTGCATCTATGGGGCAAATACGTTTAACACATCACAGCAATACTCACCGCTAACTACTGACTGCAGCTTGACACTGAGAAATGGTGACTTCGCCAAGACCGTTGCTTGTATGGTCCAGCGCCCTCACGCTGCAGAAACCAGCAAAAGTCACCCATCAAAGAAGGCGTGTACTTGCCACTGTAGCGCTGCTCCATGACTGTAATGTCTTGGTGAAAGCGTTCAACATGCTCATGGCTAACAGATCCCAAGCTCTCAGGGAAAACGTCAAGGTGACTATGCTAATGTGCATCTTGAGTGACATTCGAGAACCAACAATCTAATAGTCCCCAATGAGCACTTTTTAATGTCTTGATAGTTCGCTGACTTCGTTCTGTCAAAAAACCTGTACACTCTACCTTGAATGATTGCATACTGTCCTAAGACTCATCATATTGGTGGAATGCAACAGAGGCACAGCTGGTTACACATTTCTATCATATAGCAGTATGGCCTTAAGACTATTCTGGAACGAGTCAATGGATCTACGACACTCACCACTGATATGCCTCACGCAAAGCGTCGTCATCAATGCTCCCACGTCGAAACAGTAATAAAAGGGTGCGCTCGTGTCATAAAAACCGGACAATTTAACTCCTCGCTTTCTGTATACAGTAACCTTATTGTTAGCAGCAAGTAAGTGTCACTGCTACAGCCGAGATGACAACAACTATGTCTGGCCTTCAGACAAGCCAAGGTTCCGTACCAAGCCATTCAGCATTGATTGTTCAATAAGATTTGGGTTGACAACTTCAGCTTAAATATATGCACAGATGTCAGAATCAGGGAAAGTTGACTATGCGGAACCAGTACTCAACATCAGTTCACTGGTGACATTGGAATGGGTAAGGTTAATTCATAAAGAACAGGATAAATAGCCGATGGAAATCACGGTAATGTATTTTATCCTTGTTTCGGTTAGAGCTTCCAATGACACTGGTTAGGAAGATGTAGCCGTCTGTCGTGTGATCCTTCGGCTCTCTCCGCAGCATGGTTGATAGCAAACAGTATTGTGCCTTTGCCCTTGAGCCACTGCGTCATATGAAAATTGCACCACACTCCAACAATACGCGACGCCCACTTCTTATCCAGATTTGCAAGTTCCATCCAGTACTATGCGCGGTAGGCACCCTTCAGCTGTGAAGAAATAGGTCTACACTGCGACTTTGTATTAAGCTGTCCACGGAGCTAACGAAAATGATTTCGGTCATTAACACAGCAGCGTCTTTCAGCCATGATCAATGTAATCAATTAAGGAAACACAGCTCTCCATCGGCTTTCAGTATTAGGTGGGTACCATGACTAAGAGGACTACTTTTACACAATTACATGGTCAAATGGACCAATCAAAGGCGTGCATGCGATGCATGTAACGCACTGCTTATATGAAATAAAACATTAAAATTAAAATATCCAAACGTGATAGAAGCATTTGGTCTGCATACTCGTAATTATCTCACTTGGTACAACTAGAAACATCCTATCTCATTTCTCTTATAAAAATGATGTTGCACAGTGTTATTTTTGAAATACCAAGATGAGGTATAGTGCTATCGAAATGACAACAATTGTAGACATTTAGACATAAGTGAACATTCCGACCAAACAACATTAGACGGCCACCTAACGCTTGCTGCCGGACGTCAGCACAATACATTAGGTGTTCTTAGCCTATATTTGCAGTCGCGAAATAACCTATAAAATTTCAAGAATAAGTAGAATCGTTTGGAAACAGAGGGATAGTAATGGCCACTATAGCTATGTAGCCTTCGCGTTTGAGAAACACAGTGTGATAATGCAGTTTCTCTGACTGAGAACGTGACAGCAACTATTCACCGGAAATTACTCAAGCTGGTCCATTGCTTAAGGTATAGAAGCAAACGCGTCTCCATGATTTCCTGGATCGCATGATGGGCCAGTCTCCAGTGGTAATAAAATGGGCTGCTCGAGGGTATTGGTCATGCAGCGAAAGCATTAATTGAAGAAACACGAAGTTAACGTTGTTGACTTTTCTATACGACACAATGAAATGTAATGATATTTCGCACCCAAATGAATCCCACTTTCTTACTGATCATATGCTCCCAATACACATTCGACAAATCTACACCAGCCGCTTCAGTTAGCATTGTTGGACGGACAGAAACATGATATGTTTGAAGCTTTGTAAAACTAAGGTCTTAACACTGGTTAGAAGCACCTAGGTAAGTTGTAAAATATGTACATACAGGATAATACACTAA